TCAGACTTGACTATTTCAATATCAAGCTATAATTTTAATAAAATTTTTTAATATTAACAAGTTGATCCCAAACCTAACTTGAACTTGAAAACCAAGTTTGTTTACATAAAATGAATATGTTACAGGCCAAAAAAAAAAAATGAAGAATTATATCAACCCTTGAGTTTAGTTTGTCTATCTGATCAAGAAGGATTTGCAAGCTTGATCTTTGCCCATCATGAGTGCCTCATCTCATTTTCACTAAGGAGCAGTTATCTCCACTCAAATTCTAGATGCTCTGTATGCCTTTGGAAAAGTTGATATGTACTATTGTTTGGGTTTGGATCTGGGGATTTATGGGTACAGGGGATTGAAATGATCTGGGATGAAAGGTTAAACAAAGGAGAGGAATCAAGGGAGAGGAAGCAAGAGGGAAGGCAGTTACGAAACACTGTGGTTGTCCCATGGTGGGGTAAATCCTCTCATTCTTTGAGAGAGAGCTTAGTTGTTGTTTGTTGTTTGTATCAATTATTGTTATGGTCAATGAACAAGTAGTTTAGTAGTAATCTTCTTTTCTAAAATAAATGTTCTAGATTTGACTCACTAGATATGGGTGGCAATGTTTTTATTATACTTTAAATTTTAAATGTTCGTATTATACTTTATGATGTTATTACTGTTACTTTTGCAAGGTAAAACAACATATACACTCACAAACAAACAACTTTAATGGAACTTCTACCTGTTTGTGTCCAATTGTCTTGGCAGAGAAAGTCTGCAATGAAAAATCTGAAGGCTGGCTTCCGAAGGCTGAAAGCAGAGATGCAAGAGATCAGTAAGGAACAACAAAGCATCAAGGAAGGACAAAAATAAGTGAGAGAAAAACTTGAAGACATTGAAGCTGAATGTGCACAACTCAGGAAGGACACGGACCTCATGATCAGGCAGAGTGCTGCGAACAAGCTTAATCTGTGTCTCATGTTCAAAATCCTTAAGGCCCGTGAAGAAGGGGATTTTCTTAAGGCCACCCAGCTTGCTCAATTGCTTCGGTTGGTTTAGTTCCTCAATCCTCATCTTGTTCCTTCTGCTTTTCCGTTCTAAAGTAAAATGGAAATTCTGTTTGACATGTTCTTTTTTTACTTCTATCTATTTTGCAGCACAATATTGAGCAGGCAGAATGAGCAAAGGCAGGGATCAATATAATGGACAAATGCGGGACAAAGGTAGGGATCTATATGATGGACAAGGAATAATAGTCAATAGGATTAAGTTGTTGTTATTATGTTCTATCTAGTGAAACCAGGTGCTGTGCTGTTCTGGTTGTCGTTAAAACTCTGTGTTTTTCATTTTAAGTTTTGCTGTGTTGAATTGCAAACTTAATATATGTTGAACTTTATTTATGGTTGTTTTGTTAGAATGATTTACTGTTTTAAGTGCCAAGGAGAGTAATCTTTCCAGTTCAAAATGTATGATACAGTTTACATATTAAAATGTAATTTACATCTCACTGGAATGAACTTTCTCAAGCAACAAATCTTATCGTTTTCTTGGAAACGCTACAAACTTCTCACAGTGTTTGCGGCTATGGATCCTTGAAAAGTAGTAGACTTCCTCACTCTCAAGGAACAAAGGCTCTAGAATTTTCTAGCTCTATGGGCCTGTTTCTGTAGGGTGTACAGTGTACGTTATCTTTGTTCCATTTTAATATTGATGTTGAATATCTATACTTTGTCAACGAAGATAATCTTCGAGTCA